CTACTACTACTACTACTACTACTACTACTACTACTACTACTACTACTACTACTACTACTACTATACTACTACTGCTGCTGCTACTACTACTGCTACTACTACTACTACTACTACTACTACTACTACTACTACTACTACTACTACTACTACTACTGCTGCTGCTACTACTACTGCTACTACTACTACTACTACTACTACTACTACTACTACTACTACTGCTGCTGCTGCTACTACTACTACTACTACTACTACTGTTGCTGCTACTACTACTACTGCTGCTGCTGCTGCTGCTGCTGCTACTACTACTACTACTACTACTACTACTACTACTACTACTACCACTACTACTACTACTACTACTACTACTACTACTACTACTACTACTACATCTATTACTACTACAACTACAACAACAACTACTACTATAACTCATTTCTTCTTTTACAGGGAGAACTGCTAACAACTAGGCCTACTACTACACTTACTAGGACCTTTTAATTCTACTACTACTACTACTACTACTACTACTACTACTACTACTACTACTACTACTACTACTACTACTACTACCACCACTACTACTAATACTAGTACTACTACTTCTACTTCTACTACTACAACAACTACAACAATGATTAGCTCTACTTCTGCAAGAACTACTACTACTACTACTACAATTATTCAATTATTATTAGTTCTACTACTGCAAGAACTGCCATAACTAGTGCTACTACTACACAGGGCACTACACACTACTATGCACACACTTCTTAAACTGAAACTACTGCAACAACAACAACTACTACTACTACTACTACTACTGCTGCTGCTGCTACTACTACTACTACTACATCTATTACTACTACTAAAACAACAACTACTACTATTACTTCTTTTACAGCAAGAACTACTAATAACTAGGCCTACTACTACACTTACTAGGATCTTTTAATTCTACTACTACTACTACTACTACTACTACTACAACTACTACTACTACTACTACTACTACTACTACTACTACTACTTCTACTCCTACTTCTACTACTACAACAGCTACAAGAATTATTCAATTATTATTAGTTCTACTACTGCAAGAACTACCACCTAGTGCTACTACTACAGAGGGCACTACACACTACTACACACAAACTTCTTAAACTGAAACTACTGCAACAACTACTACTACTACTACTATTACTACTACTTCTGTTACTTATACAACAGTTATCACAGCTGTAGGTATTACTGCTACTACCACTACTATTACTACTGTTATTGTTACACCTATATATACTTACTACATACTACAACTACAATTACTACTGCCAAAAAATATATATATTTAGTTGATTTCTTGAGGACCGGTTTAGATCTAATTATTTCTCAGTATTTTTAGTAATTTCACAGACAGTCTCACACACAGTTTCACTTGGTGCCTTTTAATAAAATTAAGTAAGTTTAACAAATTAAATCCAGGTCAACTAGACAAATGAAAATTAAGTAAAAACTATACAAAAGAATGAATTCAAATATATATATATATATATTTTTTTTTGCAGTGCAGTGTTATAATGTGGGAATAGCACACTTATTTGTTTTGGGAAATGCCTTGTGTTTACTAGAAAGGCTTATCGCGCTAACGTGTAAACTGACCTGTAGAAATGTCCAGATGCCCGCCAGTGGACAATGGACTCAAGCCTGGACAGCTGCTGCATTCTGGGTCCACTCCACGTTTAAAAATACCTCCTTTGTCCCTACAAGGAGAGGGACAGTGAAGGCATCTCAGACATGTCAGCCATTGGAGCTATGCAGGCTACATAGCAAACATGCAGATGATTATGATGCCTTCACAAAACATGCGGAAAGTAATGTTCAGGTGCAAGTCAAAGCTGATGCAAAGAAGGAATGCATACTCAAGTTTAAGTGGATACAACAGGTTAGACTAGTCATTTCACTAAAACACAGTCAACATCAGTATATTTAAAAGTGCACTGCGCAATTTTTCTGGTGGAGGGTCGGCTACATGCTTGTCTCCGTGGAGATATTACTCTCCCTGGAATGTTCCATGATATCACTGACATCAAACATATCCATCTAACATTTATTCATCCGAGTGTTTCTATTGCTCAAACATACTATAACTCCTTCTGTGAATAGGGGCGACTCTGTAGATCTGACTTGTAATGTAGCGTAGTGCTCTAACCTCATCTCCTTTGTGATAGAATAGATTAGATTTAATCTATGCTGCGGAACATTCTAGACAAAGTAATAACATGTCCATGGAGACATGCAAGTAGTGGACTCCCCACTAGAAATGTTACACAGTGCATCTTTGAGATTAAAATTCACTTGTAATTTTTTTTTTTTTTTTCTAGTTTTTACATTACATTAGCCAAGTTAGACATGGGCAGCAGGAATGATATTGTGCAGAAGGGTCAAAATAGCATAGTAGTTATGATTAGATGAATCTAAAAATACAATTAGACATCCTACTGTGTGTACAATTATTAGGCAAGTATTTTGACCATATCATGATTTTGGTGCATATTCTCCAACTCCAAGCTGTTAAAACTTGAATTTTTATTGAATTTAAGCATATCCGGTTATGTGTATTTGTTTAATTAGGGAGGGTGTGCCCTAAGGAGATCAACATCCTGTATCGAGAGATTTAGGAAAAAAAAGATATAACTCACTCTGAAAAGTGAAAAATTGTAAAAATGAAATGAAATTGCAAAGATATTGGGGTGTGATCACAGAACCATCAAACGTTTTGTGGCAAATAGTCAACAGTGTCACAAGAAAAGTGTTAAGAAAAAAGGACACAAGTTAACTGCAAGAGATTTGAGAAGAATCAAATATGAAGCTACCAGGAAGCAATTATCCTTCAGCGCTGTCATGTTTCAGAACTGCAAACTACCTGGAGAGTACAAGGTTTTCAGTGCTCAGAGACATGGCCGATGTGAGGAATGCTGAAACCAGACCACCATTGAAGAATGGGCCAAGAAAAAGAAGACAGACTTTTGAAAGGTTTGATAGACTCTTGACAGACCAGACGGATGGGCCCGTGGCTGGATCAGTAATGGGCACACAACTCCACTTTGACTCTGAGCTTGTTGGACCTTTTTTGGGTTGAAGATAGACTCAAAATGAACTTCAAAACCTACTGCCAGTTTTTATAAGACACTTTTTCAAGCAGTGCTACATGAAAAAGTCTGCATCTTTCAAGAGAACTGTGATTTTTATGCAGGACAATGCTGCAAAGTACTCCACTGCACGGCTGACCACTAAAGGCATTAAAGATGAAAAAATAATTACATGGCGCCCTTCCTCACCCGACATAAACTTCTATTGAGAACTTGTGGGCCCGTCATAAATGGAAGATTTAGAGTGAAGGAAAACAGTACACCTCTGACCACTGTCTGGGAGGCTGTGGTTGCTGCTGCACAAAACGTTTATTGTCACAGATCAAGAAACTGACAGACTCCATGAATGGAAGGCTTATGATTACATTATTACATTATTACTGAGATTATTGAGAAGAAGAGTGGCTATATTGGTAATTTTGAGTTGTTTATTATTCTGACAGATGAAAATAAAAATAATATAAAAATAAAATGTAAATTTTTCATTTAGTTGTGTAATAATTCTGCACATTAATAGTTGCCCCATAATTGTGCACATATAGAGTTTCTCGTTAGGAAGCCAAAATTTCACTTTTACTTCACAGGTTTGATTTTTATTAACATTTTCGATTGAGAGCACTGCAGTTGCTCAATTATAAAATTAACCCCCATAAATACAACATGCAACCTGCAGCGTATTAAATGAAGGTTTAAACTGTCAGTAAAAAATGCCTTCCTTGTGCGTAAACTGTCCCTGCTGGAATTTTCCGTGACATAGGTAGAGATCATCTGTTTTAGAACTCAGTGCTACTTCCTGCATTTTTGTATTTTTCTTTTCAAGTTTTTTCCACAAAGTGCCACTAAACTGACGTAAAACTATGATAAATATTTACCACAGGTAACATCCCACCAAACCAAGCTATAATTTGAAAAACATGAAAACCATGCAGTTTAAAAATAAAATGGCATTGTTTTACTATCTGGATTTGAGTATCTTTGCCCAAAGTGTACAGCCTATATGACTTGCTTAATTTATTGTTTCTTACTAGTTTCAAGCAACCTTATCCGGCAATGCATAAGGAATAAGACGTAAATAACTAATGCTCTATTGCTTAGCATGCAGATAATTTAGCAACAAGTAAATTAATCCTTTGTCATTTGAGTATCTTATTATATAATATACAAATTTAACTCTAGGGGAGTACGTTTATAACCTTAAGACCGAGGCTACTAGCTGTTGACCTTTTTTAGCAGTTTAAAGCAACACTATTCATAATTGACTTTTTGATGTGCGTCTATCGTTATTACTTTGAAAATAATTAAAAACCCTTCGGCTTTCTCATAGAGCAGGCCTTCTATTGTGGTTATTCTTACTGTCAAAATGGGTGTTTCATTTTGTACCAACATTAATTTGTATACCAAATGTATGATTTGAATAACTGTATTGACGTCACCTTAATTAAAACATGTATTTATTTATCATCAGAACGCCTTATTTGGTAGCTTTCTCAATCTGATGCAATGTCTTGGTATGTTACCAGCGGCCTTGGCTCAGTCTGAAACCAGGGCAGGAATTGCATCAGCCGCAAATGGGCGAGTCTACTGGAGACTGACAGCTGCGTCAACCAATCAAACATCGAGTTTTTATGATTGACAGTTTATGATCCAATCATATATAGAAATATTTCAACGCCTCAGGCTACAATTCAACCAATAGCGTAGGGAGGTTGAGGATAAGAGCGTCCTTTTTCAGCGCACGGACTTCTGATTGGTTTTACGTTTAAGGTGGAGTGTTGGTTCTCAAACACTATTGGTTAAAGCTCAAATTTGGTCCCGCCTCTCAGTCTGGACCTTATAAAAGCAGATTGGGACGCTTCTCCATTTTACCGAAGAGCTCCCCATTGACAGCGGTTGGCGAGAAAGCGCCCAGAAAGAGCAGAAACCAGGCGAAAACCGATTACATTATTGTTTATTTACCGACCAATTCGTTTGTTTACCTTTACCTCACCACGGGCCGGCAGAACAGCTGGCCTAGAACCGTTATTTTTCGTTTTTTCGTCGTGACCTCGGGCCTAACCGGCTGTCAGTATGGATTTTTAGGCGTAATGTGGCACCTGTAATGCAATGGCAATGCATCTTGCACGGCACAACCACCCGCGTACCTCCACCTCCACAGCTGCTCAGCTGTTGGCCTCCGATACCCGCCAAGGTATCCACGAGAGCCGGTCGTTCCCACCGCGACTGGACCGGCGAAAGAAGCAGGAGACGGGCCTGAGCTAGTCGCCCTTTAGCGTTAGCATTAGCATCGTTAGCTTTCATTTTTGATCCATCGTCCAGTCTAACCGAGTCAAAATGAAGCCTCAAGACATCCTATCCGGGAAGAGCAGTCTGTGGATCTTCGGGTACGGGTCTCTGGTGTGGAAGCCCGATTTCAAGTACAAGAGAAGCAGAGTGGGCTACATCCAGGGCTACAAGAGGCGCTTCTGGCACGGTGACAACTTCCACCGGGGCAATGACGAGTTGGTAAGCTCAAGTTTAATGTTTTTGGATCAATAATTGTTCATATTTAATCGTATTTTATTTTTGTAACGTAGTATTTCACTAGAAATGTTATGCAAAAGGCGTGACCTGATTTCTCTCTCTCTCTCTGCAGCCCGGAAGAGTGGTGACGCTCATTGAAGACGATGACGTAAGTGAAACTCCCATTTTAGAGCTGGAAAAAATATTACTTTATAATATAGTAACTGGTAATTTTCAGAAGTTATTTACACATTTGCAGGCATTTTGTAGTAGTTTTATGTCAATATATATGAGACTTTGGGGCATTTAAATTGATACTAAATTATGTCTATTACAGTTGTACTACAGTTTTACACAAATCAGAAATAAGATGCATTATTACATATATTGTCTGATGGATGAAACAACAGTCAACAAATTTTCCTCTACAATCGCTCATGTTCAAAAACATTTGGATAACTTTGCAATACAAAAGCAGTAACACTGAATAGGATTGTACAATGCAGACTTTAAATATTCCCAAATTCCAGACTAAAAATTTCGACTGGAAATTAAAACTGGTAATATTCAGATTGGATATTCATGTATTTGCCTTTCTTGTTCCCTCCAGGCGAGCACTTGGGGTGTGGCTTTCGAAGTCTCTGGCGCTCAGGCAGAAGAGTCTCTCAAATACCTGAACGTGCGCGAGACTGTGTGCGGCGGCTACCTGACCAAGATGGTGGACTTCTACCCCGAGGGTGAAGAGTCCAGTGCGGTGCCCGCTCTCGTCTACATCGCCACCTCCGACAACCCGCTGTACCTCGGCCCGGCCAGCGCAGAGGAGATCGGGGCACAGATCGCGGTGTGCCAGGGCAAAAGCGGGCACAACCTGGAGTACCTGCTGCGGCTGGCGGAGTTCATGAGGGAAAGCTGCCCGCACGTCGAAGATGGGCATCTGTTCGCCATCGAAGCAGCAGCGCTCAGTGTGGTAGCCCTCCTGTTAGTCGCGCAGTAGCTGTTGGCATTGGCAACGAGGAGGAAAGCAACATGAGGCTTAACATTCACAGCCATTCATCTGTTATTTTGTTGTTTAGGTGTATTAAGTTATTTTTCCAGAGAACAAAATTATGGTTTGTCCAAATTGACCCCCTGAACAAAATGCATTAAAACTACTATTCACTGTTAATTACGACTATTTTAAAGAACAGCTTTATCTGCATGGCCTAGTGGTTTTACACATGTTTTTATTTTCAAATTTTAAAAAATCTGATTGTATGATTTGGGCCCAAAACATCGTCTTACTGTAACCTGGAGTTTGTCTAATGCATGACCAAGTTGTTGCATAGTTCAGATTCCGTCCATGCAAACTTGAACTTTTACTGTGGTATTTGAACAGAGTTTATTTGCCAAATGATGCTTTTATTTTAAGTTTCTGCAACTGTTGTCCATTGTGAAAAAATAAAAAAAAATTGAAAAATTATTTTTCTTTGTTTTTGAATATGTTCTTTTAATGTGTAGAAACCATACAGTTTAAGTTGAAACCCATTTGCTTTAACTTGTACACAAATTATACACTTTTTAAATAATTAAAACTGGTCCATACAAATTGCCTGGGGTAAACACACTATAGGTTACAGTTTTGGTTTAATGCAAGTGTGGCCTACATAACGAGCTAAACATGACCAGAAATGTAACTTATGTATTTGTTGTGATAAGTTTGTCCTAATATCAAGTTAAATACTGGCCAACCCAAAGAGCACTCTGAGGTAAAAGTAGTTATGTAGTTTATGGTCTTCTCTTAACATTCACTATATTCTACTAAAATGAGTTCTGATAGTGTACATTTGTGACTGGAGGTAATTGGCATGGACAAAGTGCATTAAACAGGCTCGTATGTCACATCTGGGCTCTGTTCCAAAATCTTTTCAGTTTTTGAGATAAAGTTCACTGAAAACGTGTTCACTTTGTGTCTGTGATTTTACACTCAGAATTAGACTGATAAAAAGAGGAGTCTGGAGAGGATCACAGGGGGTACGTGTGTGCAACAGTGGACAGTACAGGGGCGAAGGAGGACTGGACCAGGACTGAACCAGGACTGATTCAAAACGTAAATAGGAATAACTGAAGAAGGGCTAAACCAGTACTGGGCAAGGACTAAACCAGGGCCGAACCAAGACTGAAGCAGCGCTGATTTCAGTACTGATTCAGAACTGTAAATCAGGACTAAGGTAGGACTAAACCAGGGCTTAACCAGGGTAGTCCTAGGACTAAAACTGGACAAAACTGGGACTAAACCAATACTGATCCAGGGACGAACTAGGGGAGGAACTAGGCCTAAACCACGACTAAACAGAACTAAGCAGAACTAAACCAGAACTAAGCAGGACTAAACCAGGACTAATCCAGGGCTAAACCAGGATTGAAGCAGTACTAAACCTGGGCTGAATCAGGACTAAATCAGTACTAAACCAGGGCTAAACAGGATTAAAGCAGGACTGAACCAGAAAGGAACCAGGACTAACCCAGGACAATATCAAAACAGAAATAAAAAATAAATAAATAAAAAAATACTCTCAAAAAAGTAAAACATATTTAACATATTTTAGTAAGAGAGAATGAACAGAGGAAGTCCACACACAGTTTTCTCACTCTTTAATGTCGGCTGGCCCCTTGTGTTAGTAAAACAACAACTGCATTCGTCCTTATGTACACGGCAACTATAAAAATAGATGATTGGATATGGGACAAACCAGGAAACAACATCCTCACCACTACAGTATATGTACACACAACATTGTACAGTTATAATCACATTTCAACACAAAACTAGTGCTCAACGTAGGTTTTTTTTTTCACCCTAAAACATCTACGACATTCACCACAAGAACTGCAAAAAAATAACATGGCTTTTAGTACAATTTCACAGTTATACTCTATTCAACACAAATAAGTTAACCAAGATTTAAATCATTACATTAATTTAGCAGCATCGCCAGTCAGGCTTTTGTTGTTGGAATTTGTACATCACTGGGCAAAAATAGAGACTTCCTATTGAAATGTTTTACACCTTAAATGGACTCGATTCATTTTTTTCAGGCATTTCGATACAAAAATAAGCGCTTTAGTAGAAAAAAGCTTGTTTGGTGAAGTTATGGCGGCACAGTGCCAAATACATTTAGCACTCACGCCATAAAACTATAGACCCTTTAAATGCTGTCACTACAAAAACTAAAATCTTGCTAAGTTAAAGGTGCACTGTGTAACTTTTTGAGGGGAGGGTTCGCTACCATGGAGAAGTAATTGCTTTGCCTGAAATGTTCCTCAGTATTGCATTAAACTTATATAATTTGCATTTATTCAATTACACGGGGACTTCTGTCTTGAAAAACATTAATTCTTACTGAAAGCAGAGTCGCTTCTCCACAGATCTGACCTGTAACTTGGCACAGTAGCTTGAATCTATGGATACAGATAGTTTCCAATCTGTGTTTCCAAGGTGTGTCCAATAGCATCTCCATGGAGATGAGCAGATAGCATTGCATCAGAAAAGTTAAGCTTTGCACCTTTAAAAAGACTTGAATTAGGAACATGTTATATTGATTTAAGTACATTTCATAGTAAAGCAAAATTATCTATCAACTGAACATGTCTTTTTGTACTTGAAATAGGAAAATGCACCTAGTTACACTGAAGATTAAAAAAACAACAACAACATCCGACGGTACTTAAAATAAGAATCTAAATCGTAAAACAAAAAAATACTTCTTCCATTAGTAAATAATTTTACTTGAAGTGAAATCTACTAATATCAAGTTTAATCTTCTTAATTTGAGTAATTTGAATTTACTTAGATATTACTTTTTGTAGTGATATTATCAGAAAGTTCAAAATTTCAGAATGGAGGAGACTAGAGACAAAGTGAAGTAGACTTAAATACACTGTCACTGATTAAAAATGCACTATGTAACTTTTCTGGTTATTTTCAGTCATTGCTTTGCCTGGAATGTTCCACAAAAAGGCATTAAATGGCATTGTCTACTTCCATAAAGACAAGCAGGTGACCCTACAGGTCAGATCTGCGGAGAGGCGACTCTGCTCACAGTGAGAATGCAACATCTCAATGGAGTCAAACAGGTGGCAGACCCTCCCCCAGTAAAGTTACAAAGTGCACCTTTAACTGATAGCAAATCTAACTGCTAATGTTTTTTTTTTTTAAATTATTGGATAGTTAGTTTGCTTCTATATTAAAAGAAAATGGCCTCCAAATTGAATTGAAAGAGCATCTGCAGTTTATGTAAAAAACTTGTAGATAAAATGAAAAACCATCATGGGGTTCACATTTCTGTAAGTATAAAAAACAAAATGAAGGTAAATGCCAAGTTTGTTCACTAATCACTTATTAAATCTACAAATAAAGTAAAATATATTTGAAAATAGGCTTTGAAATCGCATGAGCTTTTATCATTGCAAAACCATCTTGGATTATTCTGAGGCGGATTCAGATTTTACTATTGAAATCACACCATCTTCCACTTCACTTTCCCCTCCATTCAGGAATTTGGAATTTTGGAAACTTTTAAAAGGGTCTAAATGAAACATGCACATCCTGACCAAGACTAGCTCAAGATCTGGAGATGGGTCCCACGGGTGCTGCTTCTAACAGGTGTCAAATGCAGAGAACAACTTACAGTAAAACCTACATAAACATTGGCAATCGCTGAATAATTTTGGACTGAGCGGGTTTACAAAACAATGAAATAACTCCATTAACACTCAGTATATTACGAAAGGTAGACGTGGCTCAGTGCTTAGAATGATTCAAGCCCTTATTTGAAGAACTATGCTGTAAAAGTCATATGAGTTTAAATTACTTGAGTCCATATTACTCTGAGAATATTTTAATTTTTTAAGTTTTTTGATGTATTTAAACATAACATCATCTGATTGTTTTGTGATATTTCTACGTATTTAAAGTTGTACTATAAAATTTTTCTGGTGGGGGGTCTGCGTTGTCCTTGTCTCCATGTTATTGCTTTGGCTGGAATGTTCCACAGTATGGCATTAAACATATCCATCTTGCATTTATTCGATTACAGGATTTGTTATGGCTAAAAAATCCATTCAAACACATGTATTCTTACTGTGAGTGGGGTCGCTTCTCCACAGATCTGACCTGTAACTTGGTCTGAACACATCACCTGCTTGTCTCCTTGGAGATAGTTTAAGGAAGTTAAGGAACATTCCAAGCAAAGCGATAACATCTCCATGGAGACAATCAGGTGGCGTACCCTCCACTAGAAAAGTTACATAGTGCGCCAATAAACCAAAATGTTCTGTTCCAAACTCAAAATAGGTTATGTGACTTCAATAGCATTAAACTATGAGAGAAACTTGTTAAAGGTGCACTCTGTAACTTTTCTGGTTAGTCACTTGCTTATCTTCATGGTTACTGCTTTGTCTGGAATGTTACACAGTATAGCATTAAACATCTATCCAGCATTTATTTAATTATGGAGCTTTTAAATGAAAATAGAAAACATAAAAAACCTGCATTCCTACTGTTACCGTGGTCACCCCTTCACAGATCTGACCTGTAACTTGACTGTTATGTCTGGTGATGTCTCCATGGAGATGAATGTTTATTGCCATACTGCAGGAGAACATTCCAGCCCAAAGTAATAACATCTCCATACAAGACTCTCTATCAGTAAAGTTACACAGTGCACCTTTAAATATCTGTCCAAATGATATTATATCTATTAATGTCTTTACTGATTATAAATACATCTAAACTTGTCAAAATTACTCAAATCAATTCACAAATTAAATACATTTTAAATCTGCTATTTTTTTGTACAGTGTAGCTGGTCTAGCTTCACATGTTGTTACCAACTCTAAACGAGCTTCCTGTCAAAATTTCAAAAACAAAATACTTAAAGGCAATTTTTATTTTTCTGTCTCAAAATTAGGACAAATAAATTATAAAGAGAAATTTGGGAATTTTGTAAGAACTGTATCTTTAAAAGACAGATCCTACAAGGTACACAAGTTACTTCAAATACTATCTCCTGTAGTTTGGCTTTCACAGTGGAGATAGGTTGTGTTCAAGGTCTAGAATAAGATAATGTCGTGCTTGTATTCATGTGTGTCAGATGCCCTCCCATCCTCCTGTATCTGTGTACAGAGATGGGGGCAGGTCACATGTCTCTAGTTAATCTGCAGATGTTGCGGTGTGGTTGGATAAATACCTCATCAGTAATACAAATAATATAGACCTAGAGATACAGGAGAATGGGAGGGCATTTAACACAGGGATGTATATATATATATATATAGGAAGATGGGAGGGCATCTGACATATATTTTCTTATTCTAGAATTTGAAAACACCCAGTAGGCTCTTTAAAATGGTAAATCTCTTTAACTTAGCCTTTAGTGCATTTTGAGTATCTGTTATCGCGTGCTAGGAGTGGGTGGACCTTTAGCTTTGCGCACGGCTCCGGTCTGGGCCCCTGTGTGGAGATGGGGGTGGTTGGGGAGGTGAGGGTGGGGTTGGTGGGGGTAGTGGGAGGGCATCTGGTGCTTGTGGGGGCTCGGGGTGGAGCTGCTGCCCCCTTTAGCCTGAGGAGAGGAGCTGCGGCTGGGTTTAAAAGCAGGAGAGGTCCCAGAGCGACCCAGAGCCGGCTGCAGAGGACTGGAGCCAGAGAGACCACCTACACAGAGGAGAAGAGGTTCAAATCCACAGGATAAAACTATGGAATTCTTCTAGTACCTGTATTTTTACTTATATTTTGCAGCTGACATCATCAACATTCCCTGAGGGTGTGATACTAACTATAAGCACAAGTCTGTCTGAAGCTCTGTTATTCAAGTTACACTTTAATGTGAGCCTTGTTTTAACACAAGAACTGACTTAGTTGGAACTACAACAGGTGAGCTGATTTGTGCTGTTAAACAAGTCTCTGAAATAACAATATTTAATCTATCATTAAAAGGGCCCATAATACTCAATTTACTGATCTAAGTTATAATGTTGTTTCCTTGTGACAAACATACAAGGAGTTGTGTTTTGTTTTATTCACACGTGTTTAAAACACAAACCCTGAATATTTAGGCTGAGTTCTCCCTCAGAAAACACTCTGTTCCACCTTGTGATGCCATGTGGTATTACGAGAAGTTCCACTGTGTCTTTAAATGCCATATAGCTTCATTTAAGCCCTGGGCATTGCCTCTCTACATGGAACTAAAGGTAAAAGGTAGCTATTAACTTTAAAATTACCACTTCATGACATCACAAGGTGTAACAGAGCATTTTGGCCTTTGGTGATGTAGACAGACTAATAATAAAGGATTACTGTATGTGTAAATGATACATTATAACATGGCTTAAAGCTCACAAGAGTCTATTTTACATAATACAGGACCTTTAAAGCTGGGTTACCCTTAATTAATTTTTTTAGTTCACCAATGACAGGCAATAGGATGTTTCTCACCTTTAGACACACTGTACCCGTAGGCTGCATAAGCAGCAGCTGAGGCCGCAGCTGCACCTGCCATTGCTCCTGCCATCGCTGCCGCACTGCCCGCCGTTGACTTCCTGCCACGACCTTTGACCCCGACTTTAGCCCCGCCCCCAGAGCCTTTGGGCCTCCCTCGACTGCCTTTGGACCTGCCTCTGCCCGGGCTGATAGTGTCTGAGCTGGAAACTCCTGCGAGAAAGAGGAATATTATTAATTATAGCTGCGAGCAGCAATGACGGCCCTCACCCGCGTGCACATATCCTTCTCCTGTGCCCGCCATGGACTTGCAACCCCTTCTGAACTGCAACCAACCTGGTTTAGCCTAGTTAGCCTAGTTCTGGATTCAGTCCTGTTATGGATTCTTTCTATATCTGGTTTAGTCCTGGTTTAGACCTGATTTGGATCAATTTTAGTCCTGGTTTAGACTTAGTGTAGCCTTGCTTTAGTCCTGGTTTAGTCCTGGTTTAGACCTGATTTAGCCCTGGTTTAGTCCTGGTTTTGACCTGGTTTAGTCAGCAATTGTACACTTGGTGGGAAAAGTTCGAGAATAACTGACTTTAAGTGTATAATTTGTGTGGAGACCGATGAGGTTTTAATGACATGTTTTGAAAGACGAGATGATAAACCGGAAAGAGGCCGCTGGGTCAGATCCGAACCGGGATTTAAGGTTTTTCATGTGTGTTTGGGCGTTAGTGACGAGATAGAAACTGTTTAAAATATGTGCTGAAAACCAAAGTAGGAGGCCAGAGAGGAGACTGGAGGAAAAGGAGGATTAGGAAAATTACCCAGCACAAACTGGAATTCTGCAAACTGTACAGAATATATGAGAGTGATTTGGAGTTTGGCTTGGCTCTCTGCTGAGCAACGCGACAAGTTATGTGTTTAAATAATATAATACAAACTATAATCAGAGGACTAGGCCGTGAACTGGTGACTAGAGATTAGGGTGGAGCTTTAAGCAAAAAAAAAAGCTTTCAATCATGTTATAACAATCCTTCACCAAAAACCTGCCTGAAGAGGTTTTAGACGTCATCCATGCATGTTTGAGTAATCTAGTGATCTCTCCTGGGCCCTATTTGGACCCTCCTTACAGTTATCTGTAAGATTCTGTGCAATGGTCATTCCACAAGCCCATGTCACCTACAGTCCCACATTACAATTCTCCATAAATATACAAAGACAAGACACAAAACTGTATACAGCCACTTGACAAACGTGATGTGCTGTAGTTTAATTAGTGGGATGCACATGTATTGTGTAGTAACAGCACTCTGAAGGTAATTACTGAAACACTAATAAATAAGTTATCTTGCAAATCCAGAGCAATAGCTCTATATTTTTTATACTCCTTCTGTGACGCCTCATACCAAAACCAATCAACCCACTCAGATTTGTTTGATGACATTTCTCTCCTCTCAGATTAACAGTTTAGTGCTTCGCTCATTGATGTTGCAGTTATTCAGACCCTTGTGATGTTTTTTTTTTTTTTTCTTTTTTCCTCATAAGCAGCCATATTTGTTTTAATATGAACAGACCATGCATGTCTGTGATTGGCTCATGCACCTGTCAATCACAAAATCCCAATTTGAAAATGGGGATTCAGCAGAGACCAGACTCACATCATTGTATAATAATGTGTATTCTGAATCCCAGGAAAATAAATAAGAAAATAAATTAATATTACAATTTTTAGTTTTAAATCATATTAAAATTTTTTTTTTTACTTTTTTTTGGGCAGTGTATGGACCCCAGCCCATGATAACACAGTGCACTGATAGCCACAGGATCATAACAATGTCCCTGACCTGAATGCCCTGAATGACCCGACTGAAGCAAACACAACAGCCCTATCTCACTGTCACACAGGTTAAGTTTGAGTTGGCACGTGTTACACTAGACCAAACTGTAAAGCGCAGCTGTGCAGATTTTATGTACCAGTGTTTTTCTATATTCAATTATGAAACTGTCAAACAAGTACAAGAGCAGAGGAACGGGTGGAGCTCAGAGGAAACCAGTGTCAGAACCAATATTTATCCATCTACACTTTAAACCTTTCAACAGTTAAAGGATTAGTCTCGCCTCTGGAAGCTGAATTGTATTAGCTAAAGGTACATTATGTAACTTTTCTCTCATCCGCTTGACTCTATGGTAATTGCTTTGCCTGTTAAGTCCCACAGTATGGCATTAAACAGCAGAATCTTCCATCCATTTATTCAATTCCAGGCATTGTATTGCTCAATATTAATACCTTACAAAACATGCATTTACACTGGGAGTGGCTTCTCCATAGATCTGACCTGTAACTTGGCCTGCTTAAGTGGCTTGTTTGTCTCCATGGATATAGACAAGTATGGCATATCATGTTGAGCATTTCAGATAAAGTAATAGTTATCTCCATCAACACTAGAAAAGTGAAAATAATGCACTTTTAAAGCTTGAACAAAAGTATTTAAACACAGTTCAACAGCCAATCAGCTCATACCCCAAAGTGTCATATGGTGACTCTCAAGGCCCTTACAAGAGGATAAAATGTTTTATAATTAAGAGTAAGACAGCCTGTAATGGCCTAGTTTGTGTCACAAATTTCTGCCTTTATGTTTATCATTTGGGGACAAAAATGAAAAAACAAAACAAAAAAACAAAAAAAAAACTAAATTAACTAAAGAACACTGCTGTAAACTATCTTCCTGTCCTCTCACCGTTGAAGTTGTCAGACGCAGAGCCGCACACAGAGGCGGGGGAGTTGGTGGCTCTTGTGGGCGGAGCCTCATCCACGATCACCAACATGTCACTGCTGCTCTCATCCTGATCAGGGTCAGGAGGGAGAGAGCCGGGCTGCAGCTCACTGCTCAGGGAGATCTGAGATAGGGGAGAGAGGGAAGGAGTGAGAGAGGTGGAGAAAGAGAGAGATAAGAGGGGGAGACAGGAGGAGAGAGGAGAGGAGAGGGAGAGGGAAAGAGAGATGAGAGAGAGAAGAGAGAGAGAGGAGGAGAGAGGAAGAAAGAGATGAGGGGAGAGCAGAGGAGAGATAGAGAGGAGGAGAGGAGAGAGAAGAAGAGAGGAAGAGAGAGGAAAAATGATATACACAATTAGAGCTAGACCGATATATCTGTTGGTCAATATTTACGCTTATTTCCTCTTTACTCATATCTATGTATAATTCATAATTACAAATCATGTATTATACTGTAACACAAATGCTCCCTGAGTCTCTCCATGTTGAAAGCCCATTGTCCTGCTGTATCTCACCTCGCTGAAGGGGCTGGGCATGGCCGAGTCCATGTCCACACTGAGGAAAGAGTCTTCTCCGTCGGCTGACATGTTGGAGTTATCAGCTGAAGGGGCAGAGGGGGCAGAGTGAGAGATCACCACGTTCACCTCCCTCTTCTTCTTCGTCTCTATTTCTTCATTCTTCTTCTGGGGGAGAGGAAAAACAGAATGGATTAAAAAATGTAGGATTGGTGTGTGCGTGTATTTTTCTAGTGATCGTGTGCAGTTTGTCCAGAGTGCTGCTGCTTTAAATAAAAAACATGAGCACATAACTGAAATTCTTGCCTCTTGGCGCTGTGTTCCTGTTCATTTTAGAATTGATTTTAAGATTTCATTGTTTGTTTTTAAAGCTGTGAATGGACTGACCACGCAATACATCTCAGATCTCATTAAAATGTACAGCCCTGCATGAGCTCTAAGGTCCGAGGGCCAGCTTCAGCTCATGGTGCCTTAAAGTGCGTATGACAGATTCTTTTGTAAACTATTGTAAACATAAAATATAGTTTTACACAAATCAGTTAGCGTCTATAACATTTCACTTGTGTACATTTTATTGCTTGTGAGTTTGTACCTTCTCTGCGTATTTCTCTCTCTTTCTCTTTCGCTCTTTCACTTTGCTGCTCTCTTCCTGCAGCCTCTTCTCCTCCTGCCTCTGACGCACTACAAAACAAAACAGTCAACATTATTTAACTGATGTCTCATGCAAATAAAAAGCATTATATTAATTTAAGTCATTTAAAAAAATATATATCTCACATTTCTTCTCCAGTTCATCATCGTCCAGGAGCAGGCTCACCACCTCTTTAGGTTTGAGAGTGTCTGGTTTGAAGTTCCCTCCAGAGATCACCACTCTTTGGATCTGAGCAAACACAAGTATTAATAGAAATGACTGTTTGGTTCATTTATGAATAACACAGAAATGAAGAATAACACTTCAGTCCACTCCTAACTCTTCAGCTAAACTCACTACCTTATAATCTAAATAAAATAATTTGTCAACTAAGACAAATTTTGATCAACCAAGACACCACTGATCGATTAATCAGCAAAACGACTAGCCTGGAATGTTCCATGGTATGACATTAAACATATCTAGCATTTATTCATTACTGGTGTTTGTACTGCTCAAAAATACAATAATTCCTTCTGTGAATAGGGGTGACTCTCCATAGATCTGAATTGTAATGTAGTGTAGTGCTGAAACCTGCTTGTCTCCCTCGTGATAAATCTATACTGTGGTTAAATGTTCCTCACCTTACTCTTCTCCTTGTCAGGTGAAATATTACATAATAGAGCTTTAGTCGACATGTTTAAAGTGCTCACCTCACTCTTCTCCTTGGCGCGCTGTAGGATCCTCTCCTCGATCGTGCCCTGACAGATGAGTCTGTACACAGTCACCTGTTTGGTCTGCCCCAGTCTGTGAGCGCGGTCCATTGCCTGCTGGTCCACTGTAGGGTTCCAGTCGCTGTCGTAGAAAATCACCTGAAATCATACAAAACAGTTTAGAACAATCATCAGTGTAACCCACAGGCAAGACCTGGGCAAGCTGTTTTAATCATGCCCCCTGGATGTTTTTAATTATATTTTTTAGAGCATTGTGATAGTATGCCCAAAATCAGATACTAATCAAACTGGTATCGAAACTAGATACTCATTTGTGGAGACACTGATGCTAAAAAAGTTACACTCACAGGACAGAAGTGAACCTTTCCTGAATAGCTTTAGAATGATCTTGAGCTCAGAACAGATCAGAACAATGATAAGGGCACATAGACTAGTACACACCCATTGACCACTATGGAACCTACCTGGACAACTAAGGGATTACACAGATATAAGACCACATGGGAATTACAATTTTGATAGCATAGTAATAGAATGAAATACCCTACATTTTACAGAAATTTGATTATAGTTATGTGTCTGTGTTAATTTTAAAATGCTTTGTAATTACAAATAAAAGCCATCTTTATTTGATTTAGAAAAGAAAAAATATCAAAGCAAAAACTTAGGTCAGATCTGTGGAGAGTACCTGAATAAAGATACCAAGAAAAACAGGTATTCTGTTTTATTTTTGAGCTATAAAACCACTGTGAATTTAATACATGTAAGCTATAGCTGTTTAATGTCATGCAGTGGAACATTCCAGGCAGAGCAACAAGAGAGAAGTTACATAATGCACCTTTTAAAATTATTGAAAGAACATGTTAACTGTAAAATTTGGTGTGAGTGATCATAGGGCTGTTTACATTTATTCTGAATAATCTTAAAACTCCAAAAATCTGGTAATAATGAGACTTTAAGTGTGCATGTAACCACAGCTATTGAGGAGAAAATTTCATATAAATTTTATTGCCATATCACAGCCTTAATACACACCCCATTTTCAAGCATATGTACTGCGAGTTGTGGTGGCAATGCTGTCCCTGCCCACGTGCCCTTTAGCCTGACAGATGTCGTGTGTTAGCTCTCCCTCCGCAGTCATTGTCACAGAAGCTAATCTGCCTGAACTGGGGTCTGACCACACAATAGGTGGATTATACAAAGAGATGTCCATAAGAAACAAAGGTCCCATTCATAAAAGCAGGCTCTCATCTTCACATGCAAACACAACCACGCTATGATCGCCATTATGTCAACATATTAGACAAGAGAGATGATTTTTAACCCAGTTTGATCCAAGCAAACATGAGATTATAACACGGATTTGAAGTATGACCTCTTCAATAATAGCACTGCAAATACTGAATAGTAGGGCCCGTACCCCTTTTCATTTTCCATGTGTCTCGTCTCAGTACAGATATATCGTATAAGCAGGTTGAGGTCAAATAATTCGAGCTGTGAGCTGTTGCGAGCTGTCTTCATTGTGAAGTGTTTTAGTGTCCAATAATTCGGAAGTGTGTTAGCATGCTAGTTGTTCTTGGCAAAACTTCACTCTGGACTGAGAGTTGTGAAAAGTGCTTAGAAATGTATTGATTTGTGAATAATTAGGACACTCAGAATGCATAAGGTAAGTGAGGAAACCTGCAAACAGTTTTAAATGAAATAGTCCTGTTATTCTTTTTTTTTTTTAAGACAGGTACAGCACCTTTAACCATAAACCAGTTCCAAATATTTTATAATGTTAATTCATAGATAACCTCCATTTATTTGAATGGCATGTACTAATCTTACCTTAAGAATAAATACTTTTTATAAGTATTTTCGTACATTGACAGTATGATGATATATGAGCATTGTTGTGTTTCTCACCGTGTCTGCAGCGGTCAAGTTGATCCCCAATCCTCCAGCTCTGGTACTTAGCAAGAAAACAAAGATGTCCGTCCTGTGAAAGGGCAAGAAACATTCAATACAATATCATACAAAATACATGGCAAATATAAATCTTTAATTCATTTTTTTTTGTTTCTACTTTGTTTACACTTAGTTGTTCCAGTCTATTTTCTAACTGCACTTAAAATTTCCAAAACAAAACCATACATATAAATCAGTTTGAAATACTTAGACCATCAAGAAATGGAAAATATTTTGAAACAAGTAAAATTTAAATCTCAAAACTACTTAAATCGAGATTGAATTTGATCAAGCTATATTAATAACAATTGCTTGAATTACACTCGTCTTTACAAACTTGACAACCCTCTTTGATCTAGAGCTACAACAAACAAGAAACGATCATTTTGCTAGTCAAATTAGTTTAGATTGTGAAAGGCCAGTGAATATGAGATTTTTTTGTAATTGTTCCCAGATAAAGAAGTGAAGCTGCTTGAGGACCTCCTCCTATTAACAATATTCGATTACTGTTGACAACCATTTCAATCGATTAGTTGTGATTAACTGATTAACTTGATTAACTCATTGCATTTAAAAAAACAGCACATTCAGATGTGTCTTGCCAAATGACAAAGCATTTACAGGATTTGAACCTCCAATTTACTACCAAAGTAACTCATCATATTCATTTTTACACTGTATTTAACCAAACACAGCACAATCTGACCTTTTGTTTTGAGTCAACTGAAGTTTAAAAATCAAGAACATGGGAATTGCAAACCACAAGTCATGTTCAATATAAAGAAATGTTATTAAACTTTCCGTATTCCGTATTTCTGAATAAAACAAAAACAGTGGGGCTTGGAGCCTAATACAAACCAGACCTATTCAAGACCACATGTTCCACAAGAGGTGGATCGCAAAAGTGAAATTATCCATGTAATATCATGTCCTATTTGAAAACAGAATGTCTCTTTGTCTCCATGGGGTCTTATTCTGTGTAGCTGCTAACCCTGTAGTTTAGAGCTCTACAAACATGTTCTGAAATATACCTATGTGTCAGATGCCCTCCCTGTGTGTCAGATGCCCTCCCTGTGTCTTCTTTGGGTTTTATTCTATGTAAAAGCTGCTAACTGAAATGCATGGGATTCTCGTTTTAGTTTAGTAGTTCAGATTTCTTTGAAATATTAATGCTCATGGATGAGTTTAAAATGTGAAAAAAACTGAATATAATTACTGTAATGTGAAAAATTGTTGGAAAAATAATATTTGCTAATTTAATCACAATCAACTAAGTGGTTAGAGGAATGAATCTACTGAAATACCCCTCATTCATGGATAGCAGACATGACACAAGTAAAGGCAATTCCATAACGTTTACCTAGAAACCATGTTAACGTGGGCCAAAACTAAACAAAATTACACAATAGTTATAATTAAACTAACAAATGGAGCTAGCATAAATTCAGCATGGAAGACTTCACTACTTCTCCAGAGTTTTAAGGGAAGACATCTCCGAAATGTCTTCCAATCAAATTCTTTCAATAAAATTACTAATACTTTCTGAATCTGTTGAAATAAAGAACATCTTTCTTTTATTAAATGAACAACTGACAGAAAATTTCTTTTGGAGGGAGTTTTCCATGTTGATGAATCAGCACTATTCCCAGTATTTTTATACTTTTCTTCTCAACTTTCTTAACTGAAGTAAAACTATGATAAATATGTCTGACAGATACTATCTCTCCAAACCAAGACATAATTAGAAAAACATGAAAATACGCATATGTTCTTTAATCAGTTGGTTTTTACCTGCTCTGGAAGTCAGCCACCATGTCTCTGCGCTCGGAGATCTTTGAGGATCCGTCCAGCCGCATGTACGTGTGTTTACGATATACCATGTACTCCTGAAAAGAACAAGACAACACTGTGCAATTAATATATTATTTTAAACTGACATTGTGATCAAATCCTTTTAAATTGTGTTTTAAATATCATATTATCAAAAGGAATTGGAAGAAGTGTAAAAAGCTTCAAATTAAAACCCTTTCCTCTAGTTAATAAATGCACTATGTACATTTTCAGGGGGAGGCTACGCCGCTTGCTTGTATCCACAGAGATGTTATTGCTTCCACAGCAAAGCCATCTACCTCCATGGAAACAGGTGACTCTAACCAAGCCAAGTTACAGGTAAGATCTGTGGAAGAATGGTATTTTTGAATAATTAAAAACACTTACACAGATAAGTTAAAAGCCATACTTTGAAACATTTCAGGCAAAGCAAAAACATCATCATGGAGACAAGCATGTGTCTGGAAAAGTTACGCAGTGCACCTTTAAATCCATATCCTTTCTTGTAGGTTAAAAGGTCCACTATGTTACTTTTTTCTGGGGGGAGCATCTGCTTGTATCCAGGGAGATGGATACAAGCAACTATCTATCTAACTAACTATCTATCCATGGAGACTAACAGGTTAGATCTGTGGAGAGGTGATCCCGCCAACAGTAACAATGCATGTTTTTCTTAGTAAATTATTTAGGCAATACAAACACCTGTACCTGAAGCATGTTTAAAGCTATACATTACATTACATTATACATCTGGGCAAAGAAATATTTCCATGAAGACAAAAAATGGCAATACTCCTTCCAGAAAATGATTACTCAGCATCAACATTTGGCAGAACTTGGCAATTTTACATTAGTTTGTCATTCAACACTATTGTTCCTGTAAGATTGCTATCACAGCTAATGTAATTTGAGGAGAAAACTGGGCCAAAAAAACCTACAAAATCTGTTAAATATTTTCTAGTTCACGTATCTACAATAACAGACAAATTACACCATAGAAACTGGCAACTAAACATGGATTCTCATTTCATTATGTTTAGGAAATACTACTAAATAAGCACTTAAATATTCCAATCTGTCTGTCTAAAAATAAAACTGATTCCTGTGGGGTTTTGTGTTACTTTCCCAAAATCAAAACAGACACATTTCACCATTGTTTTGTCCAGAATGTTAAATTCCCACTTCTTTTTAACATTTGAAACCTCACTCCAAATACGGACAAATGTTATGAAATGAGAAATCAGATACCCCAGTGAGATGTCAAGAGGTCTACAGGCAATCCTCAGTAAAAGGATGTGGTTTGGAGCAGACACAAGACTTTGGAGGAACAAACTGGACTGTGTTTTGTGTTAAGTGGCAATGGTAAAAGTCTGTATTTTGTATGTTCAAGGATTTGATATTGAAAATAACTTTTATTTGTTTTTAATGAGCCAAAAAATAAAAACACATTTAAAAAAATCAGGATTAATCAACATGAAGAAAAACATATTATTGTTTTCCTTATATTTCCCAGCTTTAGCTCACACTGGTCGAAGTTGAACCAACAACCTTCTCATGATGAGGCCAATGCTGTACTAAGGATCAGACAGATATGAGTTTTTGTTTTCTACCTGCACAAGTCTCTGGGAGCTGAAGCCTTTGTTCACAGACGGTTTCATAAATCACCCACAGCATTCAGGTCCAGCCAAATTAAGCTAATTAAAGGTTCATATTTTGATTTAGGAACAAAAGCGCGCTCATGCTCAATCCTTATTTGGACCGCGATGGCTAACAGGATACCTAAATCCATTTACATATACAGTTTTTGATCAGGAGATGCGTGGTATGTGCCTCTTGTGGCCACCAGGAGTACACACTTGCTCAGCAGAATTCTTACAGGATCCTTTACAAATGAGGCCCAAGGTCTGGATGGATAATGGTCAGACTCCATGGTTACTCCACGGTTACTCCACAGTTCCTCTGGTTGGTTCATTTCTCATTGACTAAGCGCAGGCCTGTTCCATATGTTATAAATCAGGGTTTGGTCTCTGTATCTGGGCTCTTGTTTGTAGATTCTGTGCCAGGGAATGATTACAGTGTGAAATATGAGCAGACCAGTGAACTAAAATGGAGGATTATACTGGCAAGAGGAACTCACATCTGCCCCACCTGATTTCCTGTTTCCTTTACAGTGTTTGGGTACATGTTTCTGACATTCAAAAACGCCTGTACATATTTCTGTAATCAGGGCTGTTCATGCAGTTTTGCAAATACTGGTTCATAAGGTCGACCATTTAAAGACCTGGGTTGGACCTGGGCTGAACCTGTTCTGATTTTGATATTGTGTAAGATCCTGGTGCAGCCCTGGTTTGACCTCAGTCCTGGTTTGAACAGGTTTAGCCATTTTCTTTTCTTCTATCTTAGTCCCTTTTTAGACTTTCTGTGTCTCAATCTACTTATGGTTAAGTAGTAGTAGTGGTCTTATCCTGAGATAGTCCTGGTTGATTCCTAGTCTAGTGCTGGTCTTATCCTGGTCTAGACCTCATCTAGTCCTGGTCTAATTCTAGACTAGAACTGGTCTGGACCTAATGTAGTCCTGGTCTAGTCCTGGAATAGTCCTTGTCTAGACCTGATATAGTCCTGATCTAACCTTGATATAGTCCTGGTTTAGTCCTCGCCTAGTCCTGATCTTGTCCTGATAGAGTCCTCCTCTTAGCATTCACAATAAACACTGCATAACTGCTCCTAAACCCAGCACCCTCTTTGGGTTGGGTCATGTTGGTAATAAATTATCGTAGCGGTGGCAGTGGGTTTGTTTTCACTTCCTGGACGTTAAACAGAGCTACTTTTCTTTCTCTGCTAGAAATGAAAGATGTTTGATCAGAATTTGTTCCCAGATGCAGAAAAGGAATCAATAAAATCTAATATAAATATGTGATTTCGCCAATGCTGAAATTAAAATCTTGTTGTTTATTGACTTATAATCACATCCAGGTTTTAGCAGGCATTGAGTAAAACGTTTTGAAACCTTAGGAGGAAAAATGAAAAGCACTTTACTTCTTTAGGTCGCCAAAGAGCACAGATATTTGGATCTGATAGAGTTCTACATCAAATGCCCTTCCTGACCAGCTGCATATTGGTTAATCCAAAGAAACCAAATAATCAAGATGGTGAAACTTCTTGAAGATGGGTATTATGCAAATATATAGTTTTGAGTTTTCTCTCTTCCAAAACTTGCCTGAAGAGGTTTTAGATGTCATCCAATGCATATTTGAGTAATCTAGCAATCTCTTCCAGGCCCTATTCAAACTTCCCCTTACGGTAAGCAGTATGATTCTGTCCAATGCTCAGCCCACAAGCCTAGATCACCCATGCTCCAACACAGTTCTCCATAAATATACAAAAACAAGATACAAACCTGTACATTACAACTTCACAAACCTGAGGCGTTGTGCAGTGGTTTCATTAGCAGGACGCACACTGATTGTGTTGTGATAGTGCTCTGAAGGGGGAGTGACTAAAATGCATTGTTCTGTCTCTACAATTAATATGAACACAACAGCCATATAGCCCTGCACCATTTTAAACTTGTAAGGGCAAACCTGGAGGATATAACCAGCACATTCCACACAGAAAGGTCCCATTTGGCCCTGAATCAAACCTGGGACCTTCTTGTAGTGAGGTGAGAGCACTAATCACACAGACAATGTTCTTTCATCTATAGAAACAGAATTACGTTTACTCAATAGATCAGTTTTTACAGTGCGGGTAACCACAATTGTTTCCTGATTTTCTGACTGTTTAACAAAACCAGACCACTCACTGACAATGACGTAATCCACAAGAAAGTACCCACAAAGTACCCACAGAATCACTACACTGCAAAAAATATGCACATTATAGTGCTCATATTACGCTATTTTCTGATGTTTTTATGTAGTTTCCTCATCACAAACAGACCTAGAGTTGTGTTTTGTTTCATTCACACATGTTTAACACACAAACCCTCCAGATTTAGACTGAGTTCTTTTCTCAAACAACAACACACTTTGTTCCACCTGATGTCTTGTGGTAATACTGGAAATGTTTTACTGTGTTTTTAATTTGCACACACCTTCACTAAAATCATTTGGATGATTTCAACCTTGAAATTGCCAGTCTCTACTGAACTAAGTAAAAGGAGCTGTTAACTTGAAAACTACCACTATATGACATCAGAGGGTGGAACAGAGCACTGTGAGTTTTGAAGTTGTAGATAGACTAAGAAACATGTGTGAATGAAACAAAACAACTCTAGGTATGTTTGTGAGGAGGTAACAAAACGGACAAAATTGACTCCTGTGAGCTTCAGTTGTGTGTAATATAGGACCTTTAAATAAAATTATTCAGTCGATATTAATCATACTAATCTGAACCACATTATTTGACTTTTCATTAAGAATGTTTCTGATCGTTTTCTAATACCAACTCATCTTACAACAGTGGCAGATATGGTGTAATTGTGGTTTAGACTTGTCTTAACATTATAGATTTAATTTGTGGTATTGGTTAAAGTGGTGGTGTATTGATTATTAAATTCTGGTTAAGTCTGGGTTTAGAGTAGATTTGTATCAGTCCTAGTCTTGTGCTGGTTTAGTGCTGGTTTAGTCCTGTTTTAGTCCTGATTTCTCATCTTAAAAGGATCTCTAACCTGATGTTTACTATCTTAAAAACATGTAAAACAAAACTCGTTCATTCTAAACAGTCAGTGGGCCAAAGTTATTCCTCACTTTTCTTATGCATTCTGAGCATACTAATTATTCACTGTGATACATTTATAAGCACTTTGCATAACTTTCAGACAAGAGCAGAGTTATGCTGTAACGGTAATGCAAACAACAACTAGCATGCTAACATGCACTTCCTGATTGAAACAATAAAATGCTTTAAAATTAGATGCAGGCAGAACACAGAGGACTTATTTTGACCTCCACAGCTTCTTATACAATATATTTGTGTGGGAATACATTGGGTACAGGCTCTTTATTTAGATTTAGAATAGATTAGACTACTGTAATGGTCTGCTCACTGGTCTCTCAAAATGAGCTGTGAGACAGCTGCAGAACATCCAGAACGCTGCAGCTCGGGTCCTTACTCGAACTAGGAAGTACGAGCACATAAGTCCTGTGCTCAGGTCTCTGCACTGGCTTCCTGTGCCTCAGAGAATAGACTTTAAAGCAGCTCTGCTTGTATACAAGTCTCTCCATGGCCGAGCACCAAAGTACATCTGTGACATGTTAGTGTCATATGAACCATCTCGCACTCTGAGGACCTCAGGGACCGGCCTCCTGCTGGTGCCCAGAGTCACGACTAAACAAGGGGAGTCAGCGTTTCAGGTTCATGCAGCTAAAACCTGGAACAGTCTGAACATGTGAGACAGACTCTTCTGTGACGCTGTTTAAATCCAGACTCAAAACATTTCTGTTTAACTGTGCAAATAACTGAAAGGTTTTCATTTCGCACTCTTCTCTCCAATTTATGTCTCTCTTTTTTTATTTTAATCTTCATGATTATTTATGTTTTGTTTTTATTATGATTTTAATGTATTTCTTATTCTGTAAAGCACTTTGAATTACTTTGTGTACGAATTGTGCTATACAAATAAACTTGCCTTGCCTTGCCTACTTTAGTTCTAGTCTAGTTGTGTTTTAGTCCTGGTTTAGACCTACTCTACCATCTTAAGACATGTTCACAACTCTAAATAAACTTCAAAATAGGATACTGCCGACTTCCCACTCACTGACAATGGCATAATCCACTTTAAAGTACCATCTAAGTACACACTGATGTATGACTAGTTATAGCTGCCTGAGAAAGCCTTATTTTTTGTACTATTTTAGATGTTTTCATTTTAGTTTTTATTTTGTGAATATTTTGGGTTTAGCACTCATCAAAAAGACCCCAAAATGAAAGCACTTTAGTCTACAGGCCAATCCATCAAAGTTCTCACAGTGAGTGACAACAACAAAGAGTTTGTGGTGACAAAAACAACAAAACCAATGACAGAAAAACCACTGGCTTCACTTTGAGGAAATTAACTCCATCTGTAAACAATAACCAACAAAATTAAGTTATATGAAAGTGGGAAAGATGTTTGAGGGTTTCCACACTGTAAAAAATAAATTATGTACATGAGTTTAAATGACTAAATTCAAAAGTGTCAGTTGTACAAATGTTCACACGAAGGATTGGTGGTTCAGTTTCTTCCCAAGCGCATACTGTTTTTGTATCTTTAGGCCTGTCAGGATAATTACTATATCAACTTATTGTTCAATACATGAAAGCTGGAATATTTTTAATGTCTTTTTATATATTTATGGATTTTTTTTATTTTTATTTATGATAAGATTTGAGCTGTAAAAGATTGAATTAATAACTTCTATGACTCATTACAAATGCAAACTAAGAACTAAAGATTTTGTTGCATTATACTATTGTACATTTTGAGGTTTAAATCTTCTCTTGGGTTTTTATATCAGTGGCATAAATTAGTTACAAAATGGTTGTTTACTGTCTCTATTTACTTCAGCAATACATCATACTCCAAAATTTGTTATCGTGATAGGCCTATGTATCCCTGGGCAAAAACATCACATATATAGTTCGATTAGGTAAATTAGGACTTCTCTTATGATTATAGCAAAAAAAAAAAAAAATTATTCTGTAAACTGGACAAACTTTTTTTTTTTTTTTTGAGTGAATACGTTTCGCAGCTCATCCAGCTCTTCAGTTCTGATCAGACTGATGATGAACACTGAAGGGAGGAGCTAACTACTCTGAAACTACATTGAAACTAAAATCTATTTATTTAAGTCATTAATAAGAGGACTAATTTTCCTCTCTTCCAAAAAAGAAAATAAATCCCAATAAAAAAAAAAAATCCTGAATCAGTTCATACAAATGTTCAAATTTATGACAAAATCTAAACAATTTCCAAGTCTTAATTTCCAACTTTGTATTGAAAAAGACCCCACCCTCCATCTGGCTCCCTCCTCCTCCCCTCTCCTCTTAATTCTCCCACTCCTCTTCCTCCCCTCCTCCTTTCCTTCTCCTCCTCCTCTGCACTCCTCCTCTCTTCTCTCCACAGATGAGCTCCTCTAATTAGCCCTGACCTGTTAATTATCTGCCTAACGACCTCCTTAACGAGCTCTGATAGAGACACAGGGCCAGACCTAAATGACAGATTAAGCAGCAGCATCATTAGAGCTGTATTATAAAATCACATGGAGCTTGTTTTCATGTCTGGTCTATTACTGATAATGAGATCGGCCACAGACAGCAGGTTGGGTTTTAATATGTAAAAATTACAATGGCAAGATCTTAATGATATCCATTCATTTGAATTTGTTTAATTAGGCGCGTAAAGCTCCTGAATATTGCTTTAGGGGACTGTTTAATTAAGGTAAATCCAGCTAATTTCATCCACTGTTATGTCTGTAATGGGGCAGAACCGGTTTTCACTCACAAATTTTACCTAACCTGGTAAAAGCTATCAAAAATGTCCATCACAGGTTTAAAATGTATACATAGATGGATTTTAAACATGCTTTTGGTCACCTTGGCATGAGCATTAGGTTGATGTTTCTAGATTTGCAAAGCACACTTTAATAACTACATCTCAGTTTCTAATTAAACTTTTAGGAGTTGGAGCGCCCTCTGCTGTCAGCAGTGGAAATGAAAAAATCCATGAATGCTATGTTAATAGAGCAATGCTTTTGTCATGAACACAATTTGACAGCAGAACAAGTGATGGTTTATGGACTGAAAAACTGCATAGCAGTAGGTTTTCTACCTGTGACACAACAATCCAGGAAAAATCTGAAATTATTCTGAGAGCTGTTATAACAAGATTGAAACCTCAAAAAATCAGTTTTGCAAATGTGTGGATTGGAAATACACATTTATAGTGTATGTGAGTTACCTCTAAAAGGTCGATCATTCGCGTCATCTGGGAGTAGATGAGGACCCTGTGTCCCTGGTTCTTCAGTCGACTCAGCAGCAGGTCCAGAGTGTGCAGTTTCCCACTCTCTGTGATCAGGCTCTCTTTGTCTGGAACACACAAAGTACAGGGAAATACACTATCAGGATTTATAGATATATTTACAAATATTGGCATCATAATTGGCAACTTTACTGGTGAGTACTAAGGTTGCTGGTGCACTGCAGAGTGAAGCAGTTTTAATGAGCAGTGTAGTTAAAAATATTGGAGTCTGGGTGTATATACAATTTATATAGACTTTAAAAACACAAAGGAGTCTTTCTGGATAATAAATTGATTACTAAGGGTAAGAAAAAGCTCCCAGTGGCAAAATCTTAAATATAAGATTACTCAAACATGTGTGAATAAAATGACAAAATTTAACATTTCTGATGCGAAAACAACATTATAAAAATACTTAAGAGATTCAGTTGGGCATAATATAAGATGTTTAAATACTTAGTAGCTAATATTATGAAACAAATTCTCTCTCTTTGAGTCTTTGAATCCAATCGATAAGGTCCTGGATTACGGCTCTCTAAACTCAGATAATCAGCTCCAGATTATTCTCCCTAAACCCAGGACTAATCTATGGTCTGTTTACTTTCACCACACGCTCGTATTGACAAAATCGACCAAAAAACAGAAACAGCGCGAGTGAGACGTGACAAAAGAGGAGGGAGAAAAGGCCCTAAATATTCTACTCCATTCAACCCAAAGGAACAAAGGAACAAATGAGCACAGCAGGAGCAATAGGTCACACATAAGAGAGAATACTGAAAAATAGAAATAGAAATTATTTGAACTCAGAATGTCGATATTTGATTTGATTTCAGTGACAAAATTTAGAGTACTGACTACACAAGAACTAATTTGAACAAATTCATGGCTTCTGAAATTTGTGGAAAAACTCATTGTGGTGAATAATTAGTATACAGAATGCATAAGGTAAACGAATAAACTTTATTGTCATTAGTATTTCATTAGTATTTGGATAATGAGTTTAAAAACTCAGTGGCACACTTGCTGTATTATCACTACATCATAAGGTAGAGTGTTTTCAGTTTGCATCTAAATAGCCTAAATATACATAAGTGTGATAAACATATGCGAATGAAACAAAAACAACTCCAGGTATGATTTTGATGAGGAAACAACATTATAACAGATCAGAAAATAGCGCAATGTGGGCCCCATAAGTAAAATCTTTATCTCAAACTGAATTATGTTAACTTTAGTAAAATTAGTCGCCTGTCATATGCACTGAGGGGGTACTTGAAGAGGTGTCTATAAAGTGCAGATGATGAGGGATAAACGTCAAAGACACAAAGGGTGAATGGGGAGAAGCTCTGGAGGTCTGACCAGAGAGAGGGGGGCTTGGCTCAGCACATGCCCAGGAGAGAAGCAGAGGTCAGGGGCAGCACAGTCCCACAGGGAGGGTCAGGCCCTGGACGTCCATGTGAAAGAAGACACTTGTTCACAATGAAGAATGAACAGGAAGGGAGATAAAGAATTCCACTTCATGTAGTTTGAATTAAGACCTGTTTTAGACCTGAAAATCTTAAGACTGAAGATGGTCAAAAGCAGGACTAAAGCAGATCTAAACTAGAAATAAACTAGAACAACACCAAGGTTAAAGAAGGACTAAACCAGGTCTGAATCAGCAGGATGTAACCAGAAATAATACACGACTAAAGGACTAAAGAAGGACTAAACCAGGTCTGAATCAGCAGGATGTAACCAGAAATAATACACGACTAAAGGACTAAAGAAGGACTAAAGAAGGACAAAAGCAGGACTAAACTCGGACTGCACCAGGACTAAATCAGGTCTTAATGAGAACTAAATGAAGACTAAACAAAATCTAAAATGGGTCTCAATTAGTAACACTTAACAAGCAATAAAGCAGTACCAAACCAGGTTTAAACTAGAACTAAATCAAGACTAAGCAAGGTCTATACCAAGACTAAAACAGGTCCTAACTAAAACTTCATCAGGACTAAAGTAACCAGATCTGAACTATAATAAAGACTAAACAAAGTCTAAACCAGAACTCAACCAGGTCTGAAGCAGCAAAGAACCAGTTCCAAACCACGCCTAAACTAGGACTATACCAAGACCAAGTAAAGACTAAACCAGATCTTAACTAGGACTAATTCAAGCCCAAACAAAGTCTAAACCAGGACTAAAACTGTTCTGAAGCAACAATAAAACAGGAAACAGGTCTAAACTAGGACTACCACGACTAAATCAGCAGCACTAAATCAGACATAAAGCAGGACTAAAGCCATACTTTACCAGGTCTAAATATTTTTCCCATAATTATCATTCTGACGTGACACAAAAGTACGATTAAAAAAAAAAGAAGCTCCTTGGCACGAGGCACAAATCGGAGCCTTTTCACACAATCTTCCCTTTACTACCCATAAAATATGCACGATATGCTCCAAAACAGCTGACTCACTTGCATATACCCTCATTAACATTCAATGCTAATGCATACTTGGCTTGAACCTTGACCTACGACCTTTAGGTTTAGCCCCATGATGAGGTCAGGGCCTGTTGAGGTGTTAAAGAGGATCTAATAGAACACATGACACAGGAAACACAGGGCAGACATATTGGAGGGCGGACATCTTGGGGAGGTCAGAGTGTATTGGACAGCCTGTCACGATCACTATTTGAAGCCCATACGTAAGCATTTGACTGGGATGGTTTTGACAGGCCCCGGGCAGCTGTGGAAATCCTCTATTCTCAACGCTTGTCACTCAATGAGTGCATTGGTTTGTATGCTTTTGATACCAGCTGTCAAATTCAGCTATTTCTCAGTATTTTTTTTAAATATCTGAAAATGCTGAAGTTGTTGGTTTTGTCTGACGAAAGCTCAGTGTCTAAACATTTTCCCATCTTTATTAAGATTCAACTCACATGCAAGGACCAAAATAGCCAAATGTCTGGAAGATGTGCAGACATTTATATCATTTTTGGTAAAATTCTTAACAGAATGGTTCAATAAAAAATAATGGCTAAATCATGCCTGTGATACTAAAGTCTTTGTTAAACCAATTCTTGTGCAAGGTTCATATGAAACACACCCATTTCACTCAACAAAACAGTGAAAATGCCAGATGTGTTGCATAAACGAGTTTCCTTTCTCTACACAAACAACAAAACTGTAGCACTGTAACAAAAATCGATACTATACAATACAATATATCGATATTTAGATATACACCCCTACTACATCTGACACAACGATATAGAAGGATGGGAGGGCATTTGACACAGGAATATAGGAGGATGGTACAGCATCTGACACAAAGAGATAAAGGAGAATGGAAAGGCATCACATACTCAGGAATATAGGAGGATGGGAGGGCATCTGACACAGGGATTCAGGAGAATGGTAGGGCATCTGACACAGAAATATGGGAGGTTAGAAGGGGAACTGACACACAGGGATAAGGAAGATGAAAGAGCATCCATCAAGCAAAGGTTTTCCATTTTAAAAAGTAAAAGTCAATTTTAAAGTAAAGTCAAGTACCCCCCAGGATAACAACAATGTGCAGTGGAACCCAAAAGACACAGAGTGAAACCACATGAGACTAAACGCGGCGCTTTCTGGTCCGGGGCTGAGACTCTGGTCCGGGCCTGAGACTCTGGCTGCTCCTCTGGTATGCAGCGGTTACCTCCGTGTGGTCCGACTCTTATGGGGACCAAAAACCCATGAAAACCCACAAACCCAGAGAAATGCAAACTGTACAGTGCTATAAGAGCCCTGTAATCGGCCTGGCGTCAAGAGAAAGGACAGGGAAAAGAGGAGAGGAAGAGAGGGGGTGAGAGGAGCAGAGTAATGAGAGAAAGAGTGAAGGAGAAACGAGGGAGAGAGGGGAAAGAGAATAAGGAGGAGGGTGAAAGTGAGAGTGAAGGAGAAAAGAGGGAAAGAGGGAGAGGAGAGAGGCAGTGAGAGTAAGAAAGGGTGGAGGTGAGAGGGAGCAGAGCAAGGGAGAGAAGGGCGCAGAAGGGGGGGTGAGAGTGAAAGGGAAGAGAGGGAGAGTGGCAGAAAAAATGATAAGGGAGAAAAAAGGGGGATGATAGAGAAGAGGGGAGAGAGAAGGAGGAGAAGAGAGACAGGGAGAGAGAGGTGGGAAGGGGTAAGAGGACCGGGGGGAGAGAAAGAAAGAGAGAGAGAGAGAGAGAGAGGAATGAGGAGGTGAGAGCGAGAAAGGGAAGAGGGGAGAGAGACAGTGAGGGAGAAAAGAAAGAGAAAGGAAGAGAAAGCAAGAGAAAGAAAGAGAACAGAGCGGGAGGAGGGGAGGAAGAAAGGAGAGAGAGGGGGAGAAAAGATAGAAAATGGGAGAGAACGGGAGCGAAGAGGGAGAGGGTGAGAAAAAGAAAAAGTGAGAAAGAGGAGACAGAGGAATCAGGGTTTGCTTGTGGTCACTCTGTACAGTTGCATTAGACCTACACTGCAAAAAAAGGAATATCAAGAGTAGGTCTGGTGACTTATGCTTTATTATATAGTTTGTTGATGTGAGTTAGGGTTCTAATGCAATGAATAGAATTTAAAGAAGCACTATGAAACTTTTTTGGTGGACGGCCTGCCACCTCTCCATGAGATGCTATTGCTTTGCCTGGAATGCACCAGTGTATATGGCACTGAACTTCTTTTATTTCCAAGGAGTTAACAACATGAGGCAACCAGGATAAGTTACAAGTCAGAACTGTGGAGAGGTGATTTATACATAAACGTTTATGAGCAAAAAAAAGATGTGTAATTGAAACTGTAAGATACATTTGTAATATTGTGGAATGTTTCTGGCAAAGTGCCGTGATCTCTATGAGACGATAAGGAGGTGACAGACACTCTACCAGAAATGTTACACAGTGCAACTTTATTCTTGGCCCACTGAAGTTCATTTGGTCTTCCAATAATTTATGTTATTAGGTTCTTTTTTCAGATCAAGAGTTTGTTTTCATACCTGACAGCTTCGACTGCTCACTAGCGGTCTTCCTCAAAGTGGTCACATGATGTTGCTGTGACATGTCCAATCAGCTGATTTATTCAGGT